AAAATAGAGGAAATAAAGTACATATAACAAGATTGTATTATAAAATTAATCCAGAAAAGTATATCTGTGTTCTAGTAACTATTTAGCTCAAAATAAGCAAGTGTCCGTTGTATGTACTTACAATTGAAAGAACACGAGTCGCGTTTGCTGTTTCCGGGCACGATTCTTCCCTAATTCCACTCTAATTCTTATCTCTGAGTCTCTCTGTCTTCCTGACTTCTTGAGGATAAAAGAAGAAGTTCTGGAGAGCAAATGAGAGTAACTATGGGATTTCGATCGTGATATCCGAACTTTTCCACTCCAAATTAACCCTTCTGCAGACAATATCCTAATTGCTCTTTCACACAGATCAAACTCGTAAATCAAATTTACTTTGTGAGTGACTCAAACTCGAAAGACGATCAATTTTATTGATACCTTGACTTGGTTGACACATTGTACAATATTTCGGGCGACCCTTCAAACTATGAACATTTAGTAGATTGTTATTAATCATTCTATTGTAATTATCACTCCTGCAGATTGTCATAATTATATATAAACATGATTCTCATGTTATACGAGTATAAATTGTATCGTGAGTATAATGAACATAATGACTGTCGTGAATATAAAATTATATACGTGTATATAAATACTTTTAGTGTTAAACGAGTATTTTACGTTAATTTTGTGTCAATAAGTAAAAATAAAATATAAAATAAAATATACAATAAGTAATAATAAAAAATATAAAACTAAAATGTAAAAATATAAAATTTTACCATTATAAATGATGTATATATTTGAATATAAATACTTTAGTATATAAATACTAGTGTCAAATGAATATTCTATGTTGTTTAATTTTGTATCATGTTATGTACTTTTTGTTCAAGTATTATCACATACATGCAGTAAAACTTTTGATTTTTACCACAATGGTTTAAGAAAACAAATTTGTAGAAAAACTCGATTTGCAAATTTGATCTATGAATTTGATTCGCAAGAAGATGAATGTGATTTGTAAAATAGTTAATCTATAGTGCGAAAAGGCGTTTATACGATCCTACGCAGATAGGGATAATTTGAGGTGGAGAAACCTATCGTATCGATTCTGTTTCTCTATTCGACGAAACGACATAATCTTGCAACGGCGACGTTATTACTTTATTATCGATACGTTCCCGATCCCATTTGGAATCCATTCACGAGCAACACTACGCCCGAGAAAGAAAGAAAGAAAGAAAGAAAAAAAAAAAAGAACGACGGGACGCCCGTCGAACTTAAATTAAAAATGTTGCACGCGCGCGACGTGCGCCGAATAAATCCAATCGAAACGAATCGAACCAGCCCTCTGGTCGTCAGCGTCCTTTGCTCGTCAGCGATATCACAGACATTATGGTTAACGTATACATAACGCGTACAGACGAGGGGAACAATTTGACAAAATTCGATGCACGCTCGACCAACTTGCAAACGAATTGCCAAAAATGATTCGATGGAAAAAATTCCGTTGTATACTGTATTTGCACAGAGAGAACAATTTACGATCTATCGTAGCTGGGCTTTCCATAAAACTCTCTGCATTTCGACAAACAAATAAATTCGTAGTACAACCGAGCGGGGGATAAGTCTACGTCAGAAAAATAAGAAAAAAATTTGGTATAACATTTTTTTATCTGGGACTCGGTTTTCGAGAAAATCGACTTTAAAGTTTGTTCATCTCTGCGAACGATTTAGTTGTCTATTCTTCTACCGCGGTCCGAATAGACAAACATTATCTATTGCGCGATTAAAGCAGTATAAAGTGTTCCTACTGATAATTAATTTTTTATTCCGTATTACTAGTTTCTATTGCAATACTACGATACAGTACACTGTTACAAGTATTGTTGAGAATGTCCTGCTCGTTGCCTGCATACATAAGCTTGTTCGACGAATTAATGACATCTGAACAGAATGTAAGCTGATGTCGGTTTTTAATTTCTCGAATTCCTCCATAATCTTTTCCTTCAAATGTGTAATATTTGAAATATTGTCTTTATAAACTTGTTCTTTGATATGCCCCCATAAAAACAAATCTAGAGACGTGAGGTCCGGAGACTTCGGTGGTCAAACGTTCCTTACCATCGCGGCCGATCCAACACGAATACGTTTGATTTAAAAAATTTTTAACCTCCCTCGTGTAATGTGGCGATGCACCGTCATGTTGGAAAATCATACTCCTTGTAGTAGTTAAGAGTACATCCTCCAACAACGAAGACAATTCATTGCGTAGAAACTCAAAGATGAACAAACTTTAAAGTCGATTTTCTCGAAAACCAAGCCTCAGATAAAAAAATGTTGTACCAAATTTTTTTCTTATCTTTTGACGTAGAATCGTCCTCTGTTCGGTTGTACAACGAATTCTGGCCCACCCTGTATATAAGAAAGATCAGAATAAAGAACGGTGAAAGAAACTAGAGAGGTAGCTCGTCATATACGTTCGAAGTTTTTGAAGTTTGAACAATTTTACGCTGTCGAACGTTGCTCGAAGAAATTTTGCAAAATCGACTTAAAATTTAAAATTAAAATTAACTAACGCGGATCTCGCGTCGTAACGATCGCCGCCTGAACTAAATTTTCGAGAAGACACGTCGATCAGGAGGTTCCTTTAAAGTTCGATCGAATAAAGGTTGAAGACGTTGTTTTTTCGTTTCGATAAATTCCTAAGGAGAACAGGACAATAAACACAGGATCGGCATTGAGTTACGACTGATGTTGATTAGATGCAGAAACGAAATTTGTCGATGAAAGTCGTAAGAGTTCGTTAGAGTTTCGGCGAGTTTTGCACGGGTCTGTTGCACGTGGCTACGGGGAAGCTATAAACTTTCTTTTAGGAAGTTTGTACAGCGTGTCAATTTTTAGCATTTAGGCGTTCGTATCGATCGAAGTTTCACAACGAACGCTGGTAACACGTAGATATTTTTCATTCGGTGAAATTTTCAGGGAAAGGGTCGAAAGTATCGCTCGAGGAGCTCTCCTCGATTTCTACGAAGGCTGTTTTTCTTTTCGAACTTTTCAACATGATAATAACAACAATTAGGATAATAACTTAACCTAATCCAAGGTTGGTGTGTGACAATCGATTATTTGATTGCATTCACATTGCAGAGAGCTTTGTTTTTCCTTGGCGTACAATATCGTTGGCCAATAACGCTTTTTTCTCAAACGCCGTTTGTTTAAACGATCGCCAAACGAAATCGACTCGAAGGAAAACATTAGCTAACACGAAGAAAAAATGAACTTTTATCGAAATGGAACGTGGCGAAAAAACATATCGAGTACATATCGAAATATAAACATATGGAAATTATATATATATAATATTATAATATTAATAATAATAATATTATAATAATTATATATAATATTATTATAAATTATATATATAATATTATAATATTAATAATAATAATATTATTATTATAATATACTAGGTAATAATATTATTATATTAGTATGTTTATTATTATAGTATACGTATACGTGGTACTTGTAGTGTTAGGTACATATATAGGGTGTTCCATTTGAAACGCTGATAAATGGCAACAATTAATTGCAAGTAATGGTGAATATATCACAGATTGGAATATAATTGTTGTTCGTTTTATTGATAAATAAAGTTGCTTTTACCGAGACGAAAATTATTCATGACTCCACCCAATATTTATAAACGTGAAAGGGAAAGAAGAGAAGAGAGGAGAGAAACGTGCTGCATAATTAATAGAGGCACGATGGAGGTAGCAATATTTGTCATAGCGACAACTAATAATAAATACCAACTTGCACCAAAGTACCATTTAACACCAGAGCTACCAAAGTGATCAAAATGATTTATAATTTTATAACGTTTGAATGATATAATATAACTTTACAATTATACAAGCCTTTCGACTTCAATGTGTGTCTGATGGAAATTTTATGCTTTAACCTCTTGCGCTGGAATGACGTGCCACGTGACGTCGAGAATTTTTCCCCTCAAAATATGGCAATATTTTCTCAGTTTTAAGGATATTCAAGTATAACCAGGCAGAGAAAATAATAAATTTATTACTTCTCAATAATTTCTATCCAGTGATATCATGTAATGTCGACGAATTCGAAAAAGGAAGCGGCGAATTATTGTGTACGGTTTGGTCACTCGTTATGGTCCGCGATCAATTGCCAGCGCAAGTGGTTCAATTGTTGATCAGAAGCGGGGAATTTGAAACGGAGCGAATCAACGATCTTTACTTCACTCACTTTACTTTTTAGAAACTTTTGTCACTACGGCGGAAATATATTACGTGAATTATATTCGTTTATCTTTCTACTTTCTTCTTGCCTTTTTCTCTGTTTGTCGTTGCGTCACAGTCATTACTTTCGCGATCGTCTTTTTGTCCGCAGCGCGAAAGCCACCCTCCCCGTGAGGGCTTTTCCCACGATTGCTCGCCCCTTCCTTCTCTCTTTCTCCATACACGCGTCGACAGTCCAAACTATCGCGAGCAGATAATATTCCACTGAACGAGAACATTGTCCGTCTGTTTCTAGGCGAGGGAACTAGGTGAGAGGATGAACCGTGGCGGGTAGAAAATGGCGGCGTGCAAGTTGTCGAGTGGGACACGTTCGGTGAAACAAAGAAGAAAGAAGAATCACGAGAGAGTTGGCCAACACGCGCGCGAATTTTCGAACGCGCAGACTGCAGAGGACGCTGGCGATCGGCAATTATTTCTCGTAACGTGATCCATTAACTTGGAACGCGATCGTTGGCTGAAAGTCAATCGTGGAGAAACGGGGAGAACACCCTCGATGACACCCAAGTCACGATCCAAGCCGGCTGACACGGCGGTGCGCGGCATGCTCGACGCGGTATCGACCTGCGAGATGTGAAATGAAATGAACTCGATCTCGTTCGGGGAAACGGACAGATGTAAGTGGGAGAAACGTCGAGCGGAGCGCAAGAGCGGGCGCAATAGACGGAACACACACACGACGATGAACGCGACGAACGCGGAGAACCCGCGATTATGCCTGTTGCCGGAGGATCTCGAGGTGTTGGAGGATCCTCGGACGTCGTCGCTGAGACGAATCAGCTACGGCATCATCCTGCCCACCATCTGTTGCTTCGGGATCGTCGGCAACGTTTTGAACTTGCTGGTACTCACCAGGCGCAACATGCGTGGTACCGCTTACATCTACATGCGAGGTGAGTGGACCACCGAATACACGCGAATGATCGTATTGATCAGAGACGACACGATGATATACAGGAGATATCGACGCGCGACTGTGATTTCCACGATTTCGCTCGGCGAAATGAAACGTTTGAAAGATACGGCTGTATGTAATTATCAGGTGGATCGGGGCAGGGCGGGTAAGTTTCGAACGGGATGGCGAGAGGAAAAGAGAGAGGAGAGGAGGGGAGAGCTGGAAATAAGATCATTAGCACAAACCGAGACGTCTCGCGATATCTCGATATATAAAGTTATTCCATGTTTACGTAATATTCGGAAGTTAGTCTTGAAGTGAACGATGCGAACCATCCCGACACTGTTAAACGCGTCGACTGCTGTATAAATGATATATAAATTTAAATTAAAAAAAGAGATATTGATATATAAATGTATATCTAAATATAAAAATATTAAATAGTATATGTACATATATTTATCTTACATATGTATACATATATACATATATATATATAAATATTATACATACATATATATATATTTAACTATCATACATATATATATATAACCATATTTAAACTATATATATATATATATTACTATATCAATATATAATAATTTGTATGTATAATTATATATATATATATTAATTATATTTTATTTATAATAAAGTAGTATTTTTATTTTTATAAAAAAATAATAAAAAAAAAATAAAAATACTTGGCTTTACATTTTATATAAGACCAGGAATAACCGTGGGACTAGGATAATTCTCTCGAATAATCTGTAAACTATATTTTCTCTAGAGCTCTACTAAATTTTAGTACTCTTGTTCGCGCACGTGTTGATTTATGTCAGTTGGATGCAATTTTCGTTACGACGTCCATTACGTAGACAAGTCGAGTTTTCTTCTCCGGTTCAGATTTCCACCCATCAACCTATTCGTTATGGAGCTGTTGTATCCACAATATCGTTGGTACTTCACATCCTTCAGGAATATTCGGCGATTTCCGGCGAGTATCCCTCGAGTGGCCTTCGAGACCACGCTGGCTTCCGGTCAGACATTAGTAGGAAATTGCAGGGCAATTCGATTTCGGTGTTTCCCTCGTTTCTTCACGCTTTCGACCACGCTCGAACTCGCAAAGCATCCGTAGGACACTTTCCGGTCCACAGATTTCTCGTAATTATCACGTATAATCAATATTAATTGGTGCTGGAAGATTAATAAATGATAATGGAATTTTTATCATAATATTTTTATAATATTTTTAATTTTTTCGTTATATATATATATAATAATTTATTTCGTAAAGTTTTTTTTATATATAACAAATTTTTGATGAAATTAAAAGTATTAAAATTACAAATAGAATAATTAATATAAAAATTAAACAATTTGGATTAATTTGGAAAATAAAGTAATTTTATTATTGAATAATTATTAATCGTCAGATGTCTGTTATTTGCCGAGTACGTTTGGAAACACGATTTCGAGTACGATCTAACTGAACAAAATCTACGTACAGGGTGGAAAGAAAAGTTTGTCCGTGGCTATCATTCTACACCTTCGATTTGATGGAAATAAAGAACCTGCCGCAAAATTGATCTTCACCTTGAATTTCAAGGTAAAAAAAAATTTTTTTATATTCTACCCATCACGAAGGTAAAACGTTTCCAAGGAATCTAATAGTTCTCTTGAAAAAAGTTTGTTTCTTGATCATTTAACGCTGCGTGCGTTCTAACAGCGACTTTATGGTTCTGGATTAGATTTTACCAACTGAATTACCATAGCATGAGTCTAAATAATCAAATGATAAAACTAACTAACAATCAAATGTTAACACTATTCGAACATTACATCCACGCGTCCAGAACCATAAAGTCGTTGTTAGAACGCACGCGTTGAATTTAAACAGCGTGCGTATGATTATATTTATTAAAATGAATCCTGTGTATGAATCACCCTGAAAAGTTTCCTCAGAGTCATTGTCATTTTTTTATAAAATGGCTAGGTTGTGATCGACGTCAAGGCAAATTCAACGATCACTACGATATACCACGTACTTGAAATGAAGACAAAACGAATAACGTTGAAACGTGAAGAATGATCCGCTGTATTTATAGCTTTCGCTGTTGTTTCATTTTGAGAAAAGCTTCTGTTATCTATTCTATTGCCTATCCATGCCTATTCCTTCATCCAATTCGACAACTCCTCTTCATCCACTTTCTAAACTCTTTCTCTCTTTCCTTGCTGAACGATTGCTCTGCGCGCGCCTTTTCCTTTACCATCACCTCTCGTTTCGCTATTTATCATCTTTTCCCTCTAGACCGATTCATTTTTCACACTTCGCTTGCTCTTTCTCTCGCCTTCCTTCCCTTTCTTTTCATTTGATCGAAAAGGTTCATCCACCGATGAGAGAAATCTGCTTCGATCCGTCTTCTTGTTAAGGCGAGTAAATCATCCGCTAAGCTTCGTCGACTGTAGTTTATCGGCGAAGAGAACGAGAACGACATTTATCGGATCCGCTCGGATATCGTTCGTTTGGTAAATGAACGATTGCAATGTCGAATATGTATATACACGGGGTGTCTCGCAATTAGTGGTAGAACCGGTACGTGAAAAAAATGAGTCGAAAAGAAAGAATACAATTTTTTCATTAAAACCTTCATTAAAACATTTTATAAAAAAGAGAATCAAGAATTTATCAAGTACACTCGAATTTAGCCAATTCTAGACGTGACAAAAAAGAATAACTAACATTCTACGCGCGAAAATGAGTAAAAAATGTAGAATAAAATTTTGTTGCACGATGCTTCGATTCCAAGAGAATCGAGTTTGACAATTTATCAAGTACACGTGTAAGGTAATTTTTGACGAAACGTATTCAAACCATAACGACGCTTTACATGAAAAAATTCATTCTTTACACTTTTCACATATTTTTGCGTAGAACATCTTCCTGTCGATCATTCGCGCCTGTCCAAGTGGAAATTAACTAGATTCAAGTGCGCTTGGTAAATTTCGAAACTCGAATTTCTCGAAAACAAAGGCTTTAATAAAACAATTTCTTCCCGTTTCGACTTGTTTTTTTTTTTTTTTTTTTTTTTTTTTTTCTTCACGTAGAATCACATTCCGTTCGGTTACAGGACACCCTGTATATCGTATTTACATCGTGTCGTATTACACATCGGCAGATGACTGATCGAAGATTAAACCACTTGCGCTGGCAACTGATTACGGACCATAACGAATGACCGAACCGTCAATACAATAATTCGTCGCTTTCTTTTTGAACTCGTCGGTATATCACTGGATATTGTTGAGGAGTAATAAATTTATTATTTGTTTTACCCGGATGATACTTAAATATACTTAGAAAATATATTTTGCAATTTTGGGATAAAAAAATTCCTAACGTGCGTTATTCCACCGTAAAAGGTTAACCCCTTGCGCTGACAACTGGTTCGCGGACCATAACGAGTGACCGAACCGTATACAATAATTTGTCGCTTTCTTTTTCTTTCTGAACTCGTCGGTATAATATCACTGCATAGAAATTATTAAGAAGTAACAAATTTATCATTTGTTTTGCCTGGGTTACATTTAAATATACTTAGAACTGAGAGAATATTGCAACTTTGGCACAAAAGAATTCCTATGCGTGGTACGTCATTCTAGCGCAAGAGGTTAAACGATACGAATTTGTTAGGCAAGTAATACCGAGTAATCAGTTTGTGCGAAATTTTTGACAGATGAAAAGAGAAAGACGAAAGGATGCAGCGACGGTGGATCGCACGAGCTCGAAAGTCTATCGATATGCACGATGTGGAACACGTGGTGGTAGGTGAGATCAAGGGATCAGGACGAGGTCGAACTGCAAGGACGTGCCTTTGAGCCGGGAAATATTGCGAATCCTAGGGTATTAGGGTGGAAGAATTTGTGCGTAAGAAAATGCAATTTGAGACGTGCTCGGAAACGACGAAAGCCACATATACATATCTGAAACAGACTGGCGTATGTACACGTGTACATATGTATGTATCTAGACGGTATATCGGCGTCGTACTTTCGACGAATCTTTATCCGTCGTTTGAAAGAATTTCCATTCGCCCTGCAAGAATTTACCTTACTCTTAAAAAAAGAAAAAGTCTCTCGTTTCAACGAGCTTGTCAGATCTGACTCTCGCTGCCATCCACCTTTTACAATAAGGAAACCATCGGCCTTTTGAAAATGATCGTTAATCGTTTTCCACGATTTGACTTTCAAAACGATGGACTTCCTCTTTCAGAATTGCTTCCGCTTGGCATGTTTCGACGCCAACGTCTGTATCTCGTTGCGATCGAACGAGTCATCGAGCGGACATCACGTGTCCGCGACGGGGGAAACTTTCGCGTCAGGAACAGAGAAGAGGAGACAATCCAGTTCGGGAATAGATTGGGGTTTCACGCAAATTAGGCTGGTCTCGGTTATACGAAATAATATAATTTTCAATTCCAATTCCGATTTCGGCTTCGACTCTTTGGACGATATATACGTGTTCGAAGATAGACGAAGGACGTCTAATCACGTCTATAGTCCATAGTTCAGTAGTCATAGTTTGTCCTGTTCGAGATAGTACAGCTTGACGCATGATTAACGAATCATTTTCCGTGAGCATTGTTGCGATCACAACGCAAGTAAAAAACACGTTCTCGTCTCGAAGCATCGTTTTGACAATTTACGAACGTGGATCATGGTATATTCTACGTGATAATATCTCAAATGATATTTCGATAGACATACTAGGCGTAGTATGTACTTATATAGTCTGTTCACGGGGGAAAAAAATCGCAAACAGACGGAGAAGACCATGATACCATGGGCCGTTCTAACCAGAAGCAATGGATGTTCATCTAGGCCATCAAGCAGAATTTGCATGATACCGAGGGGGACGATAGTGAAACGAAAAGCGGGAGGCGAGAGGAACGAAAAGGGCGGAGACGAGGCGATTGCGTTCCCCTTGCCAGCTAAGTAGATTCAGTGGCCCCGATCTTAAGTTTCGTCCTCTTAGGTACCTTAAGATAACGAGAAGAAGCGTCTAAACGTACGCTTTTCTTGTTCCTCTTTTTTTCCTTCCTTTTCTCTCCTTTCTTTCCTCTCCTCTTCTTCCTTTTTTCCCGTTTTTTTTCTCCACTTTCGTCAAATTTACTTCGTCTCTCGCGGTTTCTCCACGCCCTTTACACGCCCTCTACAAACTACACATTTTTGCATTTTACACGCCGTTCGTTTCGCTCCAACATCGCATCGTCTGCGCCTCGAAGAGATGAGAATTCACGATCGCAACAACTACCGGCTCGACTCGTTCGTTATCTGTACAAACGTTGCTCGAGTCGCGCGTTTCCGTCAAATCTCCAGCGTCGTTGTCTACGACACAGTAACACGGACTAACAAGTTCCGCCGGAATCTTCAACTCTTAAACTGTCAATCCGTCTCCCTCTGTCCCTCGACGAGTATCCTCCTCGATATACATGTAACTACGACGACGTTGAATCCAGTCGTCCCGGCTCTATTTCCTGAGAAACTTCCTCAGCCGTCCATGTACTCTTCTTCTTCTTCTTCTTCGACCACCGCTCCCTCCCTTCTTCGCTTCCTGTTACAAGAAATTTCCTTCTCCGGTTGGCAAAGATCGGTCAATCGGACACTCGAAATCTTCTTCCTATCCTCTGTTGTTCTGCCTTGTCCTTCAACGTTCGATCGAATCGAGATTTTTGACAAATATGTTGGCTGTACGCCAACCGAATGGCCATGATTTTCGCCACGCGATTCTTTTTTCTTTTTTCTTTTGTTTACTAAGGCGAGAGACTAAATTTTTGTTCAAATTTTGTCCAAATGGAAAATGTCGAGTACGCTTGACATCATAACCACGACTTTACAGCGCTTAACCATAACCACTTTGCAAAATACCAAAAAGTTTTCGATCAAACTACGTTATACTTGCAGAGCTACAGAGTAATCAACACGCAGCTCAATACCATGATTTTGTCGTGTGTTCGCGTTGCAATTGCATTGTGTTTAAAAAATAATGCTCGTAACGGTAAATTCAATTGTTGCTAAACTTTCATGAATCCTCTGTGAATCAAGTCATTTTTACAATTAACCAATATTTGAGAGAAAACCGAAAATTTCAAAGGGATATATTATCCTAAAATCAATTTGGTTGCATCACTTTCTGTAATCTTTTATATTTCTTCATTCAAGTATTAATGTACTAATTAGGCACAGATTAATACCTCTAACATACTTGTAGCATACATTAATCAATATTCTTTGTTATATAAATGACATAACCTATATGCTACTTTAAAGATATTCATAATTTAATCGTAAAACTGAAACATAAATATATCTCTTTCTAATTTTAGAAAATCCTAGTTAGCTGAAAATTTAATTTAACTAACTTGCCTTTATAGATTTTCATCAGCTTTATTCACTCAAATATCTAATAATAAGTGCGTAATAATGTACTTATTAGGCACAGATTAATACCTCTAACATACTTGTAGCATACATTAATTAATATTCTTTGTTATATAAATGACATAACCTATATGCTAGTTTAAAGATATTCATAATTTAATCGAATTTAAAACTGAAACATAAATATATCTTTTTCTAATTTTAGAAAATCCTAGTTAGCTGAAAATTTAATTTAACTAACTTGTCTTTAGAGACTTTCATCAGCTTTATTCACTCAAATATCTAACAATAAGTGCGTAATAATGTACTTATTAGGCACAGATTAATACCTCTAACATACATGTAGCAGTATTAATCAATATTCTTTGTTATATAAATGACATAACCTATATGCTAGTTTAAAGATACTCATAATTTAATCGTAAAACTGAAACATAAATATATATCTCTCTCTAATTTTAGAAAATCCTAGTTAGCTGAAAATTTAATTTAACTAACTTGCCTTTATAGACTTTCATCAGCTTTATTCACTCAAATATCTAACAATAAGTGTGTATAATAAAGAAAGAGATGAATATTGTACGAAACGCGCTCGTATATAAACCGCTCAATATAAAGTAGGACATCAGAAATTTAAAATTCGAGAATTCAGTGCAGGCATAATTGAAGGATGCTGACTTCTGTACAGTCTTTTTCCTGATACCATGAGTATTTTTCTATGTCACTGAGAGAAGTATTTGGGCATTTTATAAACGCTACTTAGAGAAACGCGATTATTTATCATCTAACTGAAACGCTAATTGCTAAAACTGATTCAGTAAATGCTATTACATCTATTTAAAAAAAAAAAATAACTGTTTCAATTGTTCGCGGTGATATAAATGGCAACGCCATTGAAATTTCAACGAACGTAAAAATTACTACAACTTTAAATTTAAAATCCGATGGATCTATATTAAATTTAAAGATCGAAATGAAGAAATAATTTAAAATAAAAAATATGATTCAACATATTCAGAAAAAAGTGACAATGAGTACCTTCGTTGCCATAAATTGAACGTGGTCAAATTTGCGTCAAAAATTTTTTAATAGATCATCGTCAGTTGCTACAGCATCCATGAACATCCGATTCTCTTGAAGTTATCTTTACAATGAATCAATCGCCGATCTGTCGACAGAAATGATATGAAATGTATAAATCAAAACTCGAAAAATCGTGTTAAAATGAAACAATAACTGAGAATCAACGAGCAGCAACACGAGAGATCAAGTATCATTCAATTTTGGTACAATAACGTTTCAGAAATAATTAAATAAACGTACATTAGCGAAACAAAGGCAATAGCGAAACGATGCTCGACGTGATGCGATGCGACACCACGCTTCCAAACACTGAAGTGACGGTTCCCGCCAGAATTTCGCTTAGCTGCTCTCTGATTGGCTGAGGCGGCGCGTCTGCCCCTGCAAATCAACGCGCGCGAAAAATTGAAATTCTATGTTCGGTAGAAGATTCTTCTATTCCGCGAAATATAAAATTTTCATACCATATGACCACAAAGAACGTTTTCTTTGTACGAAAAATAAATATTCGTGTTTCAGCGAATATTTATAAGATTCATTTTCAAAGGAAAGTCTTGCACGACAAATATTTAATGGCTATAATTTGATCAATCGTACTGATAATAAAACGTACATTCAAAGTTATGAAATGTTTCGTTAATTTCTGACACAATGAGTAAAAAGTATACTTATTCTATAAAGGAAAAGAAAAGAAAATTTATTCATTGTACGAATTAAACTATTGCGGAATTTTTAAATTAATTGATATCATTTAATTGAAAATAAATTATAGATATTAATCTATTCTATTTTCACTATGCTTTAATTATAATTATGATCAAAAAAACCTTTACGAAATTGAAAGAGGAAAGAAGTTTGAAACTAAATCAAAGAGATTTGTAGATGTAAACGCATGTTTGTTTCTTCATGGGCAAACTACATCTAGCGGTGAAAAACGGTACTAATTAGAAACTACGTGTACAAAACAAACAAGTAAATTTCTTTGTTTTTTATTCCTTTCTTTCGTCTTTTTCGACGAATGAAAGTTCATAGAATGCATCAAGTATGTATAAAATAATTCCATACGTAGATGATAATCGAAGCAATGTTAGTTTCTTTTTAAAAATTTTCTTACCGTTTTGTTGTAGGTTACTCAACAGCGGCGCTCCTCGCGATTCTGTTTTGCATCCCTTTCGCGCTTAGAGTGTTTATTCACAAGGATACAGGCCGATGGAGCAATTGGACGCAAGCCTTCTACCATACTTATCTGGAACTTTTCTTAGGAAATGGCTGTTTGGGTATGAATTTGAAACATTTCTCGATACACTCTCGATAGATTTGTACAGAGAAGTACGTGTTTATCGGCATTTGGAAACATCGACCGGGTTTCCTGCTTGCCGACAGAATATCTTTCGATGGTAAATGGGTTGATATAGGGTTAAACGAGGGTAATTACGGATCAATCTGTTGTTCCAGGAGTCGGAGTGATGATGCTGCTAGCATTGACGATGGAACGTTACATTAGCGTTTGTCGACCTGGCCAGTACACACGTCCACCCTGTGGCCCACCGCATTTAACGGTGGTGCTGATTCCTCTCGCAACTTTCCTGGTTTATCTGCCGAGTGCGTTTCGTGGAAAAGTAACAACCTGCCTCTTAACACCAGACGGCCCTGTCATTTACCAAAGGAGGGAGAATCAGTCGTATCTCGACTCGACGTTTTATCAGGTAATTAGCAGCGTTGTTACAACTGTTGTAACGGCTCGAGCTCGAGCAACACTTACATTTTCGAACTTGTCTCCAGTCTCGATGTTCCTTCAGCGATACTTTTTGTCCAGGTGTACAAGATAGTTTTGGAGATGGTTTTCAAAGTAGCGCCAACGATACTACTGGCTGGCTTCAATCTTCGAATAATGGTGGTCTATCGACGATCCTGCGAACGTCGCCGACGAATGACGTTGTCGAGAACAGCGAGCAACGACGAAGATCCGAGAACGTTCGCGGAAGAGAGAAGGCTCGTGCTTCTTCTAGGCAGCACCAGCATCCTGTTTCTCGTTTGTGTCAGCCCTATGGTAATTCTGAATGTCACTTTGAGGGAGAGCAATCTCAGTCACTATCCTTACCAGGTAATTGTTCCAGGCTAACCGTTCGCGGTTCCATCTACTGGCTCGGATGAACCGATCCGCATTTTTATGGCAATCCCAATCTTCCAGGTGTTTCGCGCTCTGGCCAATTTGCTAGAGGTAATCAATTACTCGATCACGTTCTACATCTACTGCATGTTCTCGGAAGATTTCCGAAACACCTTGGTCCGCACTCTGCAGTGGCCTTGGGGGAAAAGCAGCCACGGGGCAAGAGGACTCGCGATGAAACGATCCTCCGTACAGAGACCAACCACCACCATCACCACTACCACCACCACCACTACCACCACACCACCGACAACCGCTGTTGCGACTCCTGGTCATTTAGCGCGTGCCAGCGTTTAGTCTCTCCCTCTCCTCCTCCTCCTCCTCCTCCTCTTCCTCCTATCCCTCTCTCTGTCTCTCTCTTCCTATCTTCCTATCTTGTTCGAGCCAAGGTCGTTCGAGAGAAGAGAGAAACCGCCCGTAACCGAATTTCCCCAACCGCGGAACGAACAACGCGGTATATCAGTCTACTTCCTCCGGTCTCGCTTTAACAAGCGTCCCGCGATATCGTAACGCGATATCGGATATAATACCGGAACACGTGCGACCGTCGCGATACATCGAATACAAATATTTGTACTTCGTGACTGGCATGAACTAATGCGACATCCCAGCTATCGAAAAAATTCGCTGATACTTCCGACTATCCGCTAGTGTGATACATTTTTCTTTTTTTTGAGTGATCTTATAGGCAGAGATCTTATACTCTCTCTCGACGAATAATGCGTGAAAATTTCGACGACTAAAGAAAAAAAAGAAAAAGAAGAAATCTCGGAGAGTTTTCTTCGCTCTAACCTAAAGTTTCGTTTTAATCGTTGTCACGATGTCAAATTTCTACACTGTGAGAGCAGAGTGTAGAATAGAGAGCGGCGGCATCAGCGACCGGGCGCAACTGTACTCGTAAGAATGTGAGAAAACGGATTTAATAAAGAATATTTGCGAATCTTCCCAGAATATCGAAAACGCTGTTTTATCTTTAAACAGCGGACAGATCGATATACCTCCTTATTTCGGCGATAGCTCGAATTAAACGCGCACGTCGGTTCCAATGTTCCCCGATAGTTAACAGCCAAAGGTCGACTAAAGTTTCTCTTCTTCGCGCTCGCGTATTCCAGTCGACATTCAACAAATTCATTTCACGTTTGTCTTGTATCTGCACCATGCGTAGAATCGAGGATTTCAAAGGGTTTCAAAGGGTCGGCAGAGTTGGCCGATTTTGAATTTCGAGTCTTGCTTGTTGAACACGATGTTTGATCAGCGAACAGCTAAGAGAATGAAAATGAGAGCGAAATCAGTTGTAAGAAAGCGGGTGTTCATTTTGTCTCTCGATTACGGGAAATAAAGAAAGTGGAAAGAGACGGAAGAAGAGGAGGAGAGGTTTGGAAACGAGTCATTGTTCCAACACGGTCAAGCGCGAAGAAACGAGAACAATGGTAAATACGCCCGTTGCCACACATTCCTGGAATCGGAAGCACAGCGAGTAGCTCGAAAGATCAGTCGATCAACGTGCCTGGATCGATAGATTTCAAAATAACTTCCCTCGGAACGAAATGAAAGCTGTTAAAATTATGCGACGTCGTGTGGTCGGCCTACGCGAAAAAGCGCCAACGACGCGTCCTTGTCGCGACGAAAGGTTATTTCGAGCTAAATGCATCCTGTTTACCACGTATTCAAACGTTTCAGGGGGCCCAACCACCCACTTTCTATTTGCTGTTTCGCTTTTAAGAATGCATCCCTCTTGCCACTCGTGTCGCGATTCGGACACACGTGCACGCACGCTCGAACGAAGGTCTCTCCGCTCGCTAGATTCGATTTCCAAGCATCTCGTTCAGATAATCCATCGTCGGCGACCGTTCGATCGAATTTGCGTAACAAATCTACTTCAACTGAAAATTTCGACCTCGAGTCTTTCGACGAGTATTTTCAGTACCACGATGCAGCAAACCGTTCTTTTGCAGAATCGCTTACGTCTTCGAACGAACAACCATCGATCACTCGGAAGTTGTAAAAATTGCACGAGACGCGTGGGACGGGTCCGATCTCCTTCCTCTCTGCAGTCGATCAAATTCTGGTCGACTGAGAAACCGAGAGAGAAAGAGAGAGAGAGAGAGAGAGAGAGAGAGAGAGAAGAAAAGAGGAGAGAAGACGCGGTGCACCGTGTGGAGAAATTTTTGGAGGACGTGAGGTGGTAGCGAGCGGTAGCAGACAGGGTCATCCATGGTGGGGGTTGCTGTTTGGGTGGGCGTTGCTGGGTCGATACAGGGTGGCTTGGTCGTCGTTCGCGAGGAAAGCGCTACCGGGGCCGGCAACCAGTACTCCTTTCCTCTCTGTTTCTCATTTCCCTCTTTCGAAATTCCTTCTCCCTTTCCCTCCCACCCTGGCCACGCGAAATCACGCGTAATTGCCGATCACTTTTACGTCAAACAACCTCGTTACAACCTCTAAACAAATTAAATCGTCCATACGCGTTCCTCGCGAATCGGCCACGTGTTCTCGTTTCGTGCAACAAGAGAGAGAGAGAAAGAGAGACAGCGTTGTTCAGGAAGTGAGCTACCGTTCCATCGAGAGATCGATGATCTTTGACGATCGTCCCGACGTTTGAACGTCGCTGTACGAACGTTGACTCGCTGAAAGCAGCTTTAAACGTTTATTCGGGATAGTTGCAGTAAATTGGGGCGGGAGGGGACGGAAAAGTGGAAAGCACCCTCTGGCGTTGCCTACCATCGATATTCTCGAGCGACGCGAAGCTTTCCAGCTTGTTTCCCAAATAGCGGGAAACGCGACCGAACAGAACCGATCTTTCGACTTCCACTTAGCGTTCGAAACTCTTTTTTTTGGGGGGGGGGGGTTCTCTTTGTGTATATTTTAATTTTTATGCAAGATTAAAACGATCGATTGGTGAAGGGAGACATAGACACGAACATTTTTTTTCTCTTTTTTTTTTTTTTCTTTTCACGACGGTGACAGTTTCGTCGGTGCTCGTCAACAGAGGGTACGCGCCATCTTTCCTTTCATCGAGGATGTCTCGTTGAAAACTCGTTAAAAAAAAAAAAAAAAAAAAAAAAATTCCGTGGAAGACGTGGCGAGTCGACGTCGTTTGTACACCGTTTCAAGAACTCTCGGTCGACGCTTGAGACAAGCGCGCGCGGTGGTTACGAGCACAGTGTGCAACACAAGCTTAAATGCAACGACACCAAAGACGCGCAATTTCCTACGGAGAGCCGAGCCACGTGTAACCACCAGCGTGGAAACAACCTGAGGAAAGTTACGTGCCATTTTTTTCTGCTCTCTCGCGACTTTCTCGATAATAAATACGCACGCTGTCTCTGTAGATTCAATCGCCACGCGTCTTTTTCACGCAGGTTTCCCTTCCCGAGTTAACTTCGCCAGCCGCGTTTTTTCCCTTTGGAGCCTCTCCCATCGCTTACCCAACTAATTTTCTTGATCTGAAACCGTGTTTAAAAGCTGTCCTATCTCCCGCGCGTAGCCATTACATACGTTAATAAATGATTAAATCCTTGAACCAAACTTTGACACTTGGATTTTTCGTAGATAGTCTGTACACAGATCATGTCGTCTGCGAAGATTATTCCAAATAAAAAATTATTCTAGATAAAAGATCCTAGAAGAATATATTTTTATCATGATTATAAATCATTATATTCGACTGACCGAAAAGTCGTGCAAATGAAAGACGAATTTTTCGTGACAAGCAGTATATTCGTTTATTTCGTTCGACTACCTTCTGCCATTTTTCAACTTCATAGTTTCGAGTTCGAGAAAGTTTATCTTTTTTCTACAAAAAAAACAGTTCCAAGAACTATTGCCATAGTTGAAAAGCCATATCTTTCTGTCTTTCTTCTTTTCTTTCTCGAAAGTAGCACAGCAAAATATCACGAAAACGTTCCCTTTCGATTTTCCACTTCGAAATCGACGCCAGGCAAACAGTTGTCAACTTGTCTTGTTAACTTTCTGAAACAAGCTCGTACAATCAGGTATCAGATTACAGAATGAATGTGATTTAAAATGAAGTTAGTTACATTTTAAGGTATATGAGAAGAAAATTACTTTCTGATCAGCTCGGTGACATACTAAATTATTTCCACGTGGAAATCGGAAATTTCTTTTCATCACGCGTGTCACGTGTAAAGGAGAAGTCACGCGTTTGACGTTGGTTAAAAGGAATTCATTAGTAAACCTCCAACTACTGGTTCTCGTTATTTTCTCTGCACCTCAAGCAAGAAACAAATCGAACGAGAAATTGATTGAATTTTCGCTCGCACGAAGATTTAACAGTAGAATTGTCAACAACCAAAGCGTAAAATTTTTGTAATACAAACGAGCTTTTATTCAATCAAGTCTCCAAAAACACGCTGTCTTTTATATCTAATAAAAATTGTGTACTTTTGTGTGTGTTTTGTGCGTACAAATTTTATTCTGTATTATTTATTTATTTTATTTGATTTTACTGTGTATTATTTATTTATTCTATTTGATTATATTGTGTATTATTTATTTATTTTATTTGATTTTATTATGTATTATATTTATTTATTCTATTTGACTTTATTGTGTATTATTTATTTATTCTATTTATTTTATTGTATATTATTTATTCATTCTATTTGATTTTATTATGTATTATTTATTTATTTTATTTGATTTTATTGTGTATTATTTATTTATTTTATTTGATTTTATTGTATATTATTTATTTATTTTATTTAATTTTATTATGTGTTATATTTATTTATTCTATTTGACTTTATTGTGTATTATTTATTTATTCTATTTGATTTTATTGTATATTATTTATTTATTCTATTTGATTTTATTGTACATTAATTGTGTATTGTGTATCAATTGATTTTATTTTATTTTACATCTAACAAAAATATACAACGATGGTCATTGGTTCTAGTGTCAGGGATTCACAATGGCGATAAGAGAAACGAAGCGTGTTTTGTCTGGCGAGGATCGAACACGCTTCGTAATCACTCGTTGTTGGAAAACGTGTAGCCTGACTCATCGCTAGCGATACGTAAGTAGACCGAGTGGTACCGGTTTCGCTGTAAACTATGCAAAACTGTGGAGTGCCTCTGACAGGGAGGACGATCATTACGAATCGAATCGATGCAACGCAAAGGGGAGCAGACGATCATTCCCCGTTACTAATGCATCGAAAGTAGGGAGTAATACCTATTACTGACAGGATGCACGAGGAACGCGTGGCTCTCCGTGTGTGCCGTGTCTCGTCGTCGGTCTTACAATCAGTCATCGACCGAAATAATTTTTATTTCTTTTCCTTTTCATTCCCTGTACATTCTTGCCGCTTTTTCGCGAAAAGAAAGAATAAAATGTGGACATCCGCGTACCTGAAAGAAGTCGAAAGAAAGGGAAAATCAACGTCCTTCAATCTGCATAGTTGGTTTTCGCGTTGGCGCGCGCCCTGCGAGCGAGCACCCTGTTCTTTTATTCATGGGGTCATCGTGAAACCGATTCCAGATGCTCGTTCCGAGTCTATCGATCCGAATCAAACTATGGTCCAACGATTAGCGATTTGGACTCTCGAGCGAAGCTCGGCAATAAGACGAAATGTCTCTCCCGAGAATAAATAACCAAAAAAAAGTTTTGATCAATCATAAACACGCATCGATCGCGTGTACGAGAAAGCGTGGCCAAGCGATCGTGCGTGTTAAGGACAGTCAGGATTGATGTCGATCTGCGTATATCTTTGAAGTTCGAAGGATCATCCACTGATGTGGGAATATATATATATATGTATAATATAATAGTATATAATAATATATATATAAAATAATAATATATATAATAATTGCAACTTTTTATTTTACTTTATGTGACTTGATTTTATTTTATTTTATTTTATTTGATTTTATTGTGTATTGTGTATTAATTTTATTTTATTTTATTTTACTGTGTACTATTTATTTATTTTATTT